AAAACAAACAAACATTTCGTTTTAATGATCTGCAATCTGCTATTGTATGAAATTACTTGTAATTTTAAAGAACAAAGTATAAAGTATCTTTAAATTAACTGTACTTATTATTACTAAGTTGAGTGAGTACAGAAGGTCATTGGGACTATGAAAACGATTTCTTAATTCTCGTTTGCATTTTGAGATAAAACTTTGGCAGCTTCGGAATAATTGTTTGATAATGTTTTCTTTTGACTCAAATGTAAAAAAAAAATTATTTTGAAAATGGCTCTTAAATTTGATAGAGAGCTCAAAGGTTATGTAACTGCGCTTTCCGAGAAGAAATATTCGTATGAACAAATTATAAACCAGTGTAAAAATCTCGGTTATTGCACTTAAAAAAATATTTCTAATCTATCACATTTAAAAATAATCTATCACATTTAAAAAGAAAAAAAAACGACTAACTGAAAGTAAAAACCAAAACATGACCATAGATCCTCATCCTAAGATTGCTCGAACGCAGGCCATTATCAAGAAAGTTAAGTCTCTGATCCGAAAAGAAAATCCACCAACTCAAAGATTCGTTATATCGAAATTAGGAATGCCTGCCCCCCCCCGCCACTGTAAGTAAAATCATTCATAAAGATTTAAAATTCAAAAAGATGTTTCAATCTAAAGTTCATTTGGTTTTGCCAAAACATATTGGTGAAAGAAAAATTAATTGTAGAAAATTATAAGAAAAACACCTAGCTGCTGAAAAAAGTAAATTTCTAGTAACACTTTGCGTATATTTAAGAGACTTTTTAAAAAGAATCAATTTTTTATTGCTCAACTAATGGGTATGACCGTACTAAAAATGGCTTCATCGGTGTACAAAAAAGTTCCACAAGGGATTCATGATAATCTCAGAATTTTGTTACAATGGCAAATTAAAAATCAAAAAAGTCTCAAATAAAGCCAAAATTATTCACTATACTGTCTGCAGAATATTTTAGAACCAATTTGGAAGAAGAAATTTAAGGATTACATGGGAAGGACGTTGATATAGTTGAGTTTTGTATGGACAAAGCACACATCTAAGTCAATTGTCACTTTCTTAGCAAAGAAAAAATAAGTAATAAGAATAAAGTGTATCCCATTTGATGAAATACCTGTCAATACACCTGACGCTTCTCCAATGGACTCTTGTGCTTTATTAAAACGAGCTTTAGGAAAACGGCATCCAAGAACACCGAACAGGCTTTGGTAAACGGCACAAGAGGAGAGTACACTTGGCATTGCAGTACTATGAAACATTTTACTTTCATGGAAATTCAAGCCAGAGCTATAATAAAGAATCGTGGTTATCTGATAGAAGCAAATCGTCCCAAAAATTACAGAATTTATATTTTAAAATTAACTTTCAAAATTGTTTCCACAAAATGAGAACGAACTTCTGTATAAATTTAAGCATCTACAGGAAAATGCTACTGATAATCGATCAAAGATCCCATCTGTACTTTGACGAATTTCTAGGTAATTGGTAGAATAATGAGGTAATGTAAGAGAAATAAAGAAAAAATCCTACTATAATTGTTTATTAATATCGCATTTTAAGGCAAAACGAGGGCTATTGCAACATAATGGCTAAATTTATGACAGTCACATGATAACTGCAATCACTTGTTTTTCGTTCAAGCTGAGTTCAAAGCTGTCATTAGGCTTGTAGTTATGAAATCCAGATACAATTTCAAATTTGATGATTGGATAAAGTTTACCTTATTTTGAAATTCTACATTTTTTTTTTTACCTATGAGCGTTTTTATTAAAACAATATGTACTTCTAAGAACAGAAAACAAATATAATAAATTAAATATGTTGCTCTAAAAAGATATCTAAAATAAAAAACAAAAGTAGGCTGCATTGAGGTGTATGAACTGGTTGGCAGGAAACATGTGATTGCTTTTTATGATGTGATTATGGCATAACATGAATCTAGTCCTTCACAAACTATGATAAAGTGACGATGACAAAATCTTAGATGGCACCTCACTCGCATAATTTTTGTACTTCACCAACATTAGGTTTTTGAGACACGACAAATTTGTAATGAAAATCTGCCCTTTTGCACGGTGGGTCTTCAATAGCACTAAAACTTGAATTCACGAAACAATAGTAAGTGAGAGTGTATTAACTTCACATTAACCTCTGAAGTTCCACCGGCGTATATAAACGTCTCTCTCAGCCAGAGTGTTTATTGCCTCGGACGTAAACATACGTCTTTTTGAAGAACAATCTTTTTTGTGCACTGCTATCCATAAAATTATACCGAAGGTTTTGGAATGCCATAAAAGGGCCTTCACAGTGTTTGAGAAGGATTTACTTGTTTCAGAGAATTGCTTATGTATTCCTTTTCTCGGCCGCCCCCCAATACATTCCATACGAGTGCCTATGTGGTAAACGATGACATTGCGAAGCAAATCGCTTAACTTTTAATCGGCAATTAAGGGATTAATTACAAACCGTACAAATTATCAAGATAAGTGATAATTTTGCATATGACAAGCCCATGGGGTCACTAGTAATCATTAAACTTATTCTCAATTCAGTACTGTTAAATTAACTATAAATCACATTGTGCAGTACTGATACATTATAAGTGTATTATATCAGTGTAAATGTGTATTTTGTTTTTTATTATTTCAAAATGTATTTTTTGTTTACTTTCAGTAAATTAATAATTTTTTTAAATAATCTTTTGTTTTCGACTTATCAATATGCTCGCCTCCCCTCGTTGAGTTATTACGCCCCTCTAGGGGTACGTGCCCCACAGTTTGAGAAACGCTTGAATAAGGTGAACCTTACAGATGACGATGATGAAATTGGTTTTGTGGTGGTGTCATGCAATTTTGTAAGTAATCCCACTCTAAATATCATGCAATAATGCATCAATAGATTATTTTGCTAATAGTCTGGTTAATACTTTTGTTATCTATTAATCCACAGAAAATCTATTGAATAAATTTCTTTATTATCATTTTAGATGATTCCATATAATAGTCTCCATAAAATACTTCACGAATTGTAACTGTGACACAATTTTCACTATGATACACAGATAATCAAAAGACGTGATGGATATACCAACGCAGAATCATTGCTGAATATGAAAAATACTCATTAAAAAGGAAAACTTTTAATTTGTCACATTTACTTGTATTAGTATTTAAGCAATATCTTAAAATTTGTACAATACGTTACTAGAAGCCTCATTAACAGAGAAAAGACGTGAAATTTTATGATGCACAAATCATTAACATATTGACTGAAGTTAATATGAAGTATAAAGAAATACATATTATGTGATAAAATTATCTTTAATACCTTAAGGGAGTCACTTCCCGAAAATTGGTGAAAACATTGATTTTTCAATTTTTACTGTAAAATAAGCTAACTCGTCTTCTTTCAATACAATTTAAATTTTTACATAAATTGGAATTACTTTACCAATCCAAATTATGGTACTGGTAAGCATTTCTTAAAGGCAAAAGTGTTTAATTTAGATTGAAATTTTTCAAAACTGTAAATTACAGCGCAAAATTAACTTTTTAACTTGATTTAGATATTCCTATCCATTATTTTCTATTGGTTTTTGCTCAGTGTTATTTACATAAAGGGGGAAGGTTGGCTGGCCAAAAAACATGTTCAACCCCCCTTTTATATAAATTATTTTATATATTAGCTGTCCTAAGTCAGTAATGTTTATAACACTGCAGCATCCATTTTATAATTTTTAATCTCGATTACTCATATGTCCTTCATTGTGCGATTTTCCTACTGTCTATATGTTTTTCGAATGTTATTGTTTGGATGTTATCTCTTGTTTGTAGAGAATTAGCCTATATATATATATATGGCTCAGAGTATAGGCAAATTACAGGTGAAAGTTGGCTAGCCCCAAAACTGTGTTTAAACCTGCAATCTTGCTTCCTAAGGCCAGGAGTTTGTTATTGTACTCTACTGTAGCTAATATTTTCTACTATCTCGACTAGTTATACTTAGGTTTTATAGCTGTTTGTATATATTTATGGATTATATATGTATTATTGAAGACAGATAAAATAATTCTCGTGCACCACAAGTATCACACGTTAGCTACAAAAGTAAGCAAAACAAACAACATAAGATAAATAAAATAAAAAGTAAATAACAAAACAAAAGTTACCTAATAATGAGTTTTCGTATACATAATAATACTTTATAAATAAATATTTTAATGAGAGATTTTTTCAAACAAGTTGTATAAAAAACTTACGATTTAAAACTTATATTAATCGTTATAATTTGCAGGGCTTTCCATGTAACTCCAAATATATATTATTTAAAAAAAAAACTATACCAAATTTTTGAAAATGCTCGTATTAAAATAATAATTATTAAAGAATAAATGTGCACATAAAAAGCTGGTGACTGCATGACCAGTAGTTTTTTTTAAAAAAATAATATAAACAAAAATATTTTTACGTCAATCCCTACTTAGGACAACAAAGAAAAATTTTATTTTAGTTACTTTTTATTAAATAATTACAATTAATATAAATATGTATATACATATGGCAGAATCACGACATAAAGTGGCAAAATAGAAAAAGTGATTTTCAATTTTACATATTGTGTTGGGCTATTATTTTTGTTTGTTTCTGTGTATTCATTCGTTCATAAATCCCATTCTCAGAAATTAAGCCACCCCAGGTAGGATTTGAATCTACGACCTTTGGATTAGAAGCCCAACGCGCTAACCATTGTGCAACAGGGACACAACGAACCATTTTCCTTTTTATGTATGGTGTTGGACTATTATTTTTGTTGTACTATTTATTCAGTAATTAAGTTTAACTAATGAATTAATATTTGAAAAAACTGTATTAACATCAAGTGTCATCCACTGCAAGTTTAAAAAAAAGGATTTTAAGCTTGAATGGATGAAGAGAAAGTATTTTATTAACAATTGAAAATTTGAATAAGATTTATAGAGAGAGGCAGATTGTGTGAAGTAATAGTAGAAATTGAAAAAAGCTCCTTATTTTTAGACTTTTTTTTAAATTGCGGAGATATAGAAAATGCTGCTTGTAGTTCCATTAATTATAGCTTATGGTGTAATATTGATCTAAATCCATAAAATACCACGATATGGCAAGTATAAATTGGTACTCTTTCTTACACACTTCTGAAGCAGTAATTGGACAACGTAAAATAACTTTTTAACGTTGCCATTAGCTTTATCAGTGACAAAATTTCGGATATGCCCAACAAAAGTTTGCGTTTAGCTACCGCAAAATTTATGAAACTTTTTTTTCGTCACTTCTTTTTGAGCAATTTCCTGAATACTAGCAACTGTTTCACATTTTTAAGCAGGATATAACATCATAAAATCTGCAATACTAGATTAAAAAGGATAACAAAAGCATGCAAAATGACAGAAGATAATCGAAATTGTTAAGAATGGGAGGCTGTGACGTTCTACGATTTCATTCGTGACTTCTGGATATTCAAAATATTCATATATATATGAATCAGTTTCAAATATGGATCCTTGGAATTTTTTATTCTGTTTAATGATGAAGGAAAGAGAAGCACTTGTGATTGTTTTGGGGCTTCTCTGTTCCGGAGTAGCAGGTAAAATTACATTTTGTATTTTTACATATTAAAAATATTAAGGTTTTTGCGTACTCTGTGACAGAAGTGGACGAACTTTTTTGAGAAGAGTGCTACTATTTGATAAAAAAAATTATTATGCTTGCCTCTTCCAAGTTTTCCAACAAACAAATATGGGAAATTGAAAAAATATATTTTTTATAAATTTACTATGGGATTTTTACGGAAATCGTGGATTTTTAATGTGCAAGTCTATGTAGTCTAAATTTAAAAAATAATATAAGAAATAAGACTAAAGTACGAACTTAGGTTTAATTGTTGATAAACTTTTTACAAGCTCAATCAATTAGGTTTTGTGTATAGAATAGAAACGACTAACTTCAGTCATTTAGTTCAAAATAATTATTAAACGCTTATTATCTACTTTATGTGACTTTTAAATTATTACTATTTTTATCATCTATATTAGAATTAACTCTATCAGATGTTATCAAAATTAAGTTATTATAGGAGAACATTAGCTAACTTTGAAGGATATTTGTTTTAACATGTTCATTGCAGGAAAAATTTATTCACAAGCATATTTTTATCTAAATTTTGAGGGGGGTTTTTTTGTCTGAGACAACCCCATTTCAATAAAATTGTAAAAAGTGGTAATTTATTAACTTTTTTAAAAAAATTTTAAATTTTCAGTAAGTCGCGTGTCACTGATACAACTCCATCGTGCCACACTGTGGTACGAGTGTCACTGATACAACTCCATCGTGCCACACTGTGGTACGAGTGTCACTGGTTCACCACCCCTGCTCTATGACGATTTGCTAATACTATCTCTTTAAATTACTTTTAAAATTAATTTTAGAAAAAGTTCACGAAACTTGGAAACCCCACTCAAAAAACCATTAATCAAGAGTTAAATAAGGATTTACTTTTTTGAGTTATAAATGACAAGCGATATGGAAATAGATACGAAAATAATGTGGGATTTCAATCACCATTTTTTGTAGCAATATGCAAGAAAGTATTACACATTTTTGTAACATTAATTTCATACAATAATTTCCTTAAGGTATCCGACTACGTTCGGAACCGTGATTTTGCAAAAGTGAATAAATGGATAATTTTCATGGCTTCTATTATAATAATATTTTGCCCGTATATAGCTCAGGCTTTTATACAGAATCTCAACCTAGAAAAGTTTTGAAATATATAACTTAGAAGTGGGTTTATCTATGTTTTACGATAACAGAGGGGAGAAATTTTAAGAAAAAAAATGCCGATAATTATTTCAATGGGTTGTAATTCTGAAAATAACGTGAATTTTTCAAAAGTCATAGTTGAGGCTCTGTACAGAGGTCTAAGCTATATATAGGCGAAATATTACTATAATAGAAGCATTTTTTACAAAAGGAGAACATTTGGAAAAAAGGTTATTCTAAGTTAATTTTTTGCCGAAGTATTGTATTTAAATAATTTTTTTTTGTCAAAATATCCTTATAATAATTTTATACTTGTAGTCTAATCTAAGTGACACTAAATATCATGAAAATTATCCATTTTTGCGCTTTTTTAAAATCGCGGTTTTGAATGTAGTCGGATACCTTAACGATTTTAATTTTCATATGATACATTTTGCTGGAATATACCATAACAAGAATGGTGATTATAAATATGATAAATGTCAAATATTATCATAAAGTCAGTTTTTTAACAAACTTTGATAATCTCACACAATAATAATCTGATATCGCCCTCAAGATTCTTGAAAGAATATTGCGTATTAAAAGATATTTTTAAATTACAAATCAACACAGTTAAGGAATTATTCATTAAAAAACTAAAAATATGAAGGAAGTGTAATCATGCTAATATAAATAAAAATATTTTCTCTCTTTCCAGTCGCCACTGCTAATTAAAACAACTTTTAAATTTTTAAAACGTACATCTTTACATTTATTATTGAATTATAAATAATAATTATTGTTGATGTTGCTGTTTCTGCTTCAATAGGTGTTATGGAATGCATATATTTCCCTGATCTTAATATTATAAGTTATATAACACATTTCATTATATTACATGCTTACCGTGCAGTTTTAAAAAGGTATGATATTCAGTGTATATTTCATCCTAATCATCGTTTTACGTTTAGTTTATGCAATACATTATCTTTGATTTTTATTTCATATTTCATGTACTAGTATTCCTGGTTTAAATAAACATAATTTTATGTTTTTCATTATCTTACCTGATTGTTGAAAGCAATTTTTAATGGCCAAACTACTTTTAAATTCACATACATATTCGAAATACTCTATGTTTAAATTTGGCTTCTTGATAATTTATATTAATTGACTATACATACCATAAATATTTTTAATTTTGTTATATCATTTAATTATCTTTCTAAAAATTTAAATGTTTCTTTTTTGATTTCATAGTTTTACTTCAAAGAATTACGTAGTTAATTTTATAATTAATTAATAGATTTTCTTTTGGATACAACAAAACTCAAAATTTTAACATTAAATTAGAATTTTAAAGCTGGGAATAGAACATATTAAATATATTCCTTGAAGATTTTTTTTATCAACCGGATGACAAGTTGCATCTTTTCTGGAAAACATTGTATATCTTAACTGCCTCATACATATTTCAGGAAATATTTTTAAAATTTAGTTCAGATGCTAGTCAAAATAGAAAATTTAATCAAGTTTTTATACCATTAAAAAAGCCTTCAGAAGAAAACTCACTTTTATAATATACAGTAAAAACCGCTAGTTTTTTTGCCGAACATTGTCAGTATTATAGTTGAATTAATCCTTTTTAAATAAACCCCTTATTTGATCTTGGTTGGCCTTATTTTGTTAAACTGTATAAAAAATCCCGCTTAAAAAATAAAATGTTTCTAGTCATTCTTATTTATTTCTCATACTGAAAATTCCAAAGCATATACAGTGGTTGCCAAAACTGTGGACACTTTTGAAAATTGTTATATTTTTTTTAAGATTGTATGCTTATAAAAAATGTCAAGTTGCACAAAAGCAAAATATTTTATATCATTTTAAAGAGAATTTAATATTGAAAATACAACAAAACAAAAACAAAAAATTCAAATATTTGCAACACAAAAAGTTATGCTGCAATAACTATCAATATACATTAGATACTTATGATAACAATTAGTTATCAATGCTTAGTCGGGTAGCCTTTATTTTTTATTACAACTTCACATCGATGTTTCATTGAGCTATAAATAGTTTTAAGCTCTTCCTTCGTTATTACATGATTCCAGGAAATAATTATATCCTCAATTAGTTCAGTTTTATTTTATGGGTACCTTATTCGGACAAGAGTTTTCAAACGGTGCCACAAGTTTTCGATGGGATTGAGGACAGGACTGCTTTCTTGCCAGGACAACAATAATATTTAGTCAAAGAGCAATGACATTAAATAAAGAAGTAGATTGAACACCCAGAAAAAAATGTGTAACGAGAAAATAATCTTTCGTATGTGAAAATTGCAAGACAGGTAGATGGTTCAATGAATTCATTTGGAGACTGGAAGTTTTGTTTAAGATATCAGGAGGCAAAATTTAATAAAAAACAAAGCAGGAAAAGAGCGGAAAAGGTGCATCACATCTAATTATGACAGAAGAACAAAAATACAATGTCTGCAAGATAAAAGAATGACATCAACGGTCATCAGAATTTCTTTGAACGATGTTGGTGTTTCTGTCAGTTCAAAAACAGTCAAGAGAAGATTAGCAGATATTAGACTAAGAGGTAAAATTCCACAAAAAAAGCCTTATCTCAATTTATAGCAGCGCTAAAGAAAGACTACAGTGGGCAAAGGAACACATTAATTGGACAAATGATTAGCGGTTACAAATTATATGGAGCGATGAAACTAGGATAACGTTATTCGGTATTCATCGCAAAAAATATGTAAGACTTCGAATAGGAGAAATACTACATCCTGACTGCATCCAGGCAACTGCGAAATACCCACATAGCTTTATGATTTGGCCATGCATATCAGCAGATGATATCGGACGCTTTCATATCATCCATGGGACACTGAATGCTATGAAATACATTTCATGATTCTAGAACCCAAACTTATGTCTTCCATCAGAGATCTATTTACCAACAATTCTTCA